GCAACTTGCAGTAGCTGAGCTATGGAAGAGGAATGGATGAAGAAGCACAGACGGAGTATTACTCAGGTATAAAAATGAACAAAACCATGTCACTTGCAGGAAAATGAGTGGACCTGGAGGACCATCATGTTAAGTGAAATAATCCAGACTCAGGATGTCAAATATTGCATGTTTTCTGTCATATGTGGAATCCAAATAAATTAAAAAATAAAAAAGCTTATATGAAAGTAGAAGTGAGATAACAAGAGAAGAGGAAGGGTTCGGGGAGGCAGTAGGGTGGGAAGGGAGGTGAAAATGATCCAAATATGCTGTGATGCCAGAAAGAAAGGAAATGCTCAACAACCCACACATGCACACTCACACACAGCAAGGATGGCGTGTGTTAAAGGGGCACAGGAACCAAATGAAGGAATGCTCAGTGGTCCGAGGGAGAACAGTTAAGCAACAAAAACAAAGAAACCAGGGCCGGGGATGTAGCTCAGTGGTTCCGCCGCCTGCCTCACAAGTGCAAGGTCCTCAGTTCGATCCCCGGTACCCAAAAAAAATCAAAAACAAAGAAAGTAGTACTGGATCATGACTGAAAATATTGTTTAAATTAAATCCAAGAGTCCATAGTAAGATAAATAAATGACTGAGCAAATTAATGAGCAGAGAAGAAGAGGTAAATCTCCTCTGCCAGATTCCAAAGAAGTCAGGTACCTATTCCACCCTGAGGTGGGGCACCCAGCTCCCGAGTGACTTCCTTGCAGAGAGTCAAGTGAGGGAGGGGAGAAGAGCAGCCTCAAAGTGGGAGCACCTGGTAAACACTACTTCCTCCCGTTGACCAAGGACAGCACTGACAGTCCTGTAAGTCATACTGAGGTTCTGTACCCTCGAAGAAATGCAGTGAGGTAGCATTTTGTCTTCCCCAAACCCGTAACTATGGTCTGACTGTAAGGAAAACAGTTCCAGCAGAGGGGCAGGCTGCCGTCCACCTGTCAGTGCTCTTCGAAGCTCTCACAGTCATGGAAAGCAAGGGAAGTCTGAGAAACTGTCACAGCCAAGAGGGACCTGGGGAGCCAGGAGAACAAAAGGTCACTTTGTGTCCTGGATGGAACCCTGGAAAGAAGGGGGACATCAGGGGAAAAGAAAGCTTGAATAAGGTCTATAATAATGTACCAATATTGGTTCCTTAATTGTAACAAAGATACCCATACTAAGATCTTAGTAACAGGATAAATTTTCTCTCTCTGTGTGTGTGTGTGTGTGTGTGTGTGTGTGTGTGTGTGTGGTAGGAAGCACAGAGGAATTCTGTAGTAGCTGCTCATTTTTTCTGTAAATATAAAAATGTCCTTAAGAATTAGAAAAAAGAAAACTCAAAACAACACAAAGGATGGAACAGTAAAAAAGAAAAGACCAGGGCAGAGAGGAGGCTGCAGATGGCCACAGCCACTTCCCTTCACAATGCCGAGCTTCCCGACCACGAACATGGTGTATCTTCCTAGTTATTTAGCTCTTTATCAGAGCAGCGTTTTGCAGTTTTCCTTGCGTAGGTCCTTCCCGTTTTGGGGGTCAGATTTTTGGGTCAGAGTACTTATATTTTTATGCTATTGCAAATGTTGATGTAATTTCAATTGCATGTCCTTTCTTTTCTCTTAGTATATGTTTGGGGTACATAATAATCACATCCATTTGGGGGAACTGGTACATGTAAATATCATTTTACTCCCTCTTCTCCCCATCCTTTCCTCTCCTTCCTCACCTGATCGCTGAGTCTAGAGCCTCCAATTTGATGTTGAACAGAAGTGTTAAGAGCAGACTTCTCTGATTTGTTAGGGCAAAACATTCGGTCTTTCCCAATTGATGATGTTAGCTGAAGGGTTTTTGTCGATGCCCTTCATCCATTTATTCCTAATTTGCGTAAAAGAAATGGATGTTGGATCTTTGTCAAATGCTTTCTCTGTGTTGAGATGATTATATAATTATGCTTGTTTAGTTTGTTTATATGATGAATTACACTAATTTTTGAATGTTAAATCAAGCCTGTACTCCTTGGATAAATCCCATCTGATCATGATGTATTATTTCTTTCTTACATTGCAGGACTCAAATTGCTAGACTTTTGCTTGGAATTTTTACCCTACATTCATGAGAAATATTGATCTGTAGTTTTTTTCCCTGATAAATCTTGCTAGAGATTTTACTTATCCATTCATTTAGTTTTTCCAAAGAATCTGCTTTTGGATCCACAGTTTTGGGTTTTTTTCTTTTTAAAATTTCAGAGTTCTATTTTGATAAAGAAGTTTGGGGTCCAGGGATTTAGCTCAGTGGTGTCATGCCTGCCTGGCAAGCACAAGGTCCTGAGTTCAATTCCTAGTGCTGGAAAAAGAAATTTGAATCCATAGATTTTTCTTTAGTTTTTCTTTTTAATTCATTTGACTCCCATTTTGATTTTTTTTTTTTTTCTTGTACTTGCTTTGGGTTTTAAAAAAATTTTTCTTTTTTTTGGTACCGGGGATCAAACTTGGGTCCTTCCACTTGTGAGGCAGGCGGCAGAACCACTGAGCTAAATCCCTGGCCCTTAAAAAAGTTTCTTACAGGAGACTGAGGTGGCTGATTTGAGACCTTTCTTCTTTTTTCAATGTAGATATTTTAATGCCATAAATTTCCCTTAAAGTTCTGATTTAGAGGCAATTCAAAACTTCTATATTATTTTCAAATTTCTCTTTAGACTTCTTTTACCTATGGATCCTTGAGTTAGTTTCCATATATTTGGGAGATTTTCAAGGATTTGTTGATTTCTAATTTAATTCTGTGGCCAGAAAGCATACATTCTATGCTGATTGCTTCTGAATCTGAGACTTTTTGAAGGGCCATAATAGCTCTATCTCTACAGTCCATGTTCACTTAAGAAAAAAATGTGTATTCTGCTGCCATAGCATAAAATATTCTACAAATATCAATCAGGTCAAGTTGGTTGAGCATGTTGTCTACTGTACTGATTTTCTGCCTTGTTACCTACCAATTATTGAGATGAGTACCAAACTGTTATGCTTTTGCTTCATTTTTTTCACTTCTATTAAGTTTTGCTTGATGTATTGGGAAGCTTATTAGGTGCTCAAATTCGAGAATTACGTTTTGTTATTTAATTTATCCAAATGATATAGCCTTCCTTAATCCCTAGCACTACTCTTTACTCTGATACCCATTTTGATACTAAGCCACTGCAGGTTTCATTTAAGTGTTATCATGGTATATCTCTTTCCCATCTTTATACTTTTTTTGAGACAGGATCTCACTTTGTAGTTCAGGGTGGCCCTGAACTGTGTAGCCCAGGCTAGCCTTGAACTCACGGCAATCCTCCTGCTTCTGCCTCCCAAGCCCATCCTTATACTTTTAATCTACTCATACCTTTATATTTAAAGCACACTTCTTGTGGGCAGAATGTAGTCATCTTTTTATGCTCAATCCAAGTTGACATTTTCTGCCTTTTAATTGGGCTTACATTTAATGTGATGAGGTTGAGTTTCTCATCTTGCTATTTGTTTTCTACTCATCCCATCAATTTATTGCCTTTTACATCTTTTTCTGTCTTCTTTGGTATTAATCAAGTGTTTTCTATTATTTCATTTTACCTTTTTATTGAAGAGCTAAGATTTTTTGGTTTGTCATTTTAGTGGTTGCTTTTTTATGCTACACCTCTTTACCTTTTCACACACTACAAATGCTTCATATTACAAGAATCCTACAATTGTATGCTCCGTTTTTAAAAGATATTATGGTCAGCCACTTTATTTTTCCATATATTTTAAATCATACTCTATTATTCTTAAACAACTGTCTTTAAAAGGTTTATATATTGCGCATGTACCCTTCTTGTAACAATTTTCAGTGCTCTATTCTTGCTGCACTTCCCTTCTGCCTCGAGGACCTCCATTCTCTTTTCTTGCAGTGCAGGCCAACAGGAGCTATCCTTTAGGTTTTGCAAGTCTGAAAACATCTATTTTTTCACATCTAGGATTTTCTTTGCAGTGGTGTTTAGTCAGCTGTTAAACCACTCAGTTGAACTTTCAACTTAATTATATTTTTCATTACTAGCCTTCTATTGGCAATTTTCTCAAGTTGGCTATTTTTATAATCATGCTCTTTAATCCTTATTTAAAAGCTTTATATTGCATGTGATCACTTTAAGTCTTTTCTTTTTTTTCCGGTACCAAGGCTCCAACTGGGGTCCTTGCACTTGCGAGGCAGGCAGCGGAACCAGAGCTACATCCCTGACCCACTTTAAGTCTTTTAAAGCTAGTGTCTGTTCATTTTAACTGCTGCCTATTTTTGTGTTTGTGATCTTCTTTCCAGTACCAGGGACTGCACTCAGGACCTTGCACTTGCGAGGTGGGTGTGGGCACCATCAAGCTACATCAGCAGTCTGTGATTTTTGACTATGAACTTATATTCCTTGAAACTATCTTTCAGTTCCTCCCATGGTGTTTTCAGCCAGTCCTTATCAGCCAAAATTCTTTCAACTTGTTCTTTAACAATGAAGAGTAGACATCTATCCTTCCCCTTTCCAAAGGTGACAGAGAACACATGATTAGGAACCAGGCTGGCCTGCCAGCGAATCTCAGACTGACTAGCAGTATGACCTTGCTAGCTTACCTACTCAGTGCCTCAGTTTTCCCATACCATTTACAACAGGGACTGGCCTGGTAAGGATGATCTGAGGATTTTTTATTACTTGAAAAAGATGTAATGAGTAACAGCACACACTTTGCCCAGTGATCCAACACTCCCTGGTCCCTGCCAACCCAGCCTGCTCTATCTACTGTGTGGAAGCCCACATCTGTGTCTGCACCAACGTAGAGAAATCTATGCCCCCTCACTGGATGACCAGCCCGTGGCGGCCCTTCAGAAGAGCGCTGGTGAAAGCTGGTCTGAGAAGCGTCATCATTATACAGGCCTGAGTGAACACACAACCCTTCACAATTAAGAAATCTGAAAACAAGCATAAGCATAAACAGATGTGATTTTAAATTTTGTATTTTTTAGGGTGGACAGTCATCATTTGCTCCAACAGCCATCTGAAGCCAATAGTCCAGGTTATTAAAAATCACAAAGGTGTATAAGTGTTCTCCTCCTTTCTGAAAACCATGTTCACTTTCTCTCCATGAAACGGGGCTGTCTGCAAAACCCTGCACCGACAATGTAACCCACGGAGCTAACTTCGGCTCATCAAAGTAGTGGCTGAAAAAGAAAAACAATTCTTAACAAACAGGCAGGTGAGGGAAGTCCATATTAAAAAAAAATTACTCAACATAAGTGGTATTTGTCATGTAGTAATGAGGTTTAAACTTTTGCTTTAATTTATAAAAATTAGGAGACACAAATTCCTGATGTTCTATCATAAATTCCAGAAAGACTGTCTAAAATACAGCACAGAAACAAACATCAGTGGTGTCCATTCTTATTCTGGAAGGCCATTTAAAAGAACCAAAACCAAAAATACTCCACAAAGTGTGTAAGAACAGTTTTCCTCTTGTTAACAGTGCTACTCTCAGTCTGCTCACTGAAACAATGCAGAATACTTCCATCAGAATTTTTTAAAGCTGGTCCTTTTAATTGAGAAAATCAAAGTGTGAAATTAATAAATATGAAAAAGGATGTTAGGTTTAAAAAGGAAAACCCTGCAGACTTAAATCATAGATACTTCACAAGAAGACTGAGACGGCATGCTTATTAAATAGGATTATGGCCAATTTAGTCTTTTCAACAGGGGACTTGACTGCTTACATATTAGACACAATCTACACATTTGGTTTATATAGTACCTCCCCAGATTAAAAACTCTGTAATATTCTATACAATACTTGGTATTTTAGTAATGCCCCATGATTCAGAGAATTTCACTGCTGGAACATATCTTAGATATGATTTGGATTCAGAGATGATCAACTCTTTTCCACTCCATTTCAGAATTAAAGATTTTACAATTCTTGTAAGAGATCCTAATTTGTCCTACAGAATATTACTGTGTTTTTAAATATTACAATTCTGCACCCCAAATGGCCCAGGGGAACAGAACCAGAAAAATGGGCGGTTTGTGTTCAAGAAGCAATAAACGAAGCTCTGCTTTATCTTTTCATAAGGACAAGTACTTGGCAACAGCACGTTCCTACCAGTGCGGATAATTACACCATTTCTGACATCATTACCACACTCCGGCCTAGCAAGGAGAAAAGGGGAAAACGGCACTGTGGGCCGGGCAGCCACGAGTAAAAGACAAAGGGTTCTCACCACAGCTGTTCCAGCAGAATACAGATCTTCTCCGCAACTATGAAACCAGTGACTGTGCACAAATAAGCTTTTTCCACCACTGTGCTTGGCTGAGGACAGCAGTAGGTTGATATGAAATTATTGGGTTCATTATTTCTGTTGCAAAGAGAAAAAAGAAAACATTTATACCCATGACATAATCACATCCAGAGTATTAAGTCCTGTGGAAACAAGCAGCACTCAGAGCCCTACACAATCCAGAGACCCAGATACCCACGGGTCTACACCACAGAAGACGGCACCCAGCCAGTCAAAGAGCTCTGGAGCGCTGCAGGACGCCTCCGCCTCTCCTCGGAGCTCGCCACTCTGCAGCACTGGGCACTGCAGATCTCTCAATGTGCTCACTGCTACTTTGGGCTGCTGCTCTTGAATCTGGTATTTGGAGAAGTATGACATCATCACTGATTCTTCTGTACCTTGAAACACACCACATAAGACCATGTGAAAGATGTAAGCAAGTTCAGCGAATCCACCAAGCCACCCCAATCCCTTTTGAGAGTTAGGGGGAAGCATGCAGGATTAAGTAAAAGGGAAGCTATGCTAAGCTGGATTCAAACTAAAATCATTTAAAGTTCCTTTCAGCTCCCAGTGCCAGAGTTCTGTAAACTTTCGTTCTCCTTCACACGTTTCTTGGAAATGTACAATACTTTCAGATTGGGCCCATATCAGTTTTATTTGCTCTACGGAAATTTCATCCTAACATATAAAACCCAAAGTAACAGTAATGGATGCTTCAGAGGAATAAACATGTTTGCAAATCTCTACAGAGGAAACCAAGAGGAATGGAATGCTGACAGAATCCCACTCAAGCTTGCCTTTGGAAACTCAGTAAAATCAAGTGTCTTTTCAGAGATGTCTGTGTAGCTTGACAGCCTTGGAAGGCAGAAACAGGCTCCCTCCTGAGCCTCCAGAGCACAGGCCGGGCTTGCTTACTGTTCAGTATAACAAATAAATGTCTCCCTCCCTGTCCCAGCAGAGGTGAGCAAGCTCACTGCCCATTATAAAAGGTTTGAGTTCCTAAGCTCTGGGTTCCTCACCTGTGATAGAACCTACTGCATGTGTCAGCATCACTGGACCAACTCTGTGTACTCTCTGGGTGCTGCAACATGGTGAACTGGTGCAAATGCTCATTCTCCATGTGTTGGCTAATTTTAGATGTCGATGTGACTGGATCAAGGGATAACTACACAGGGTAAAGCACTATTTCTGGGGCCTCCATGAGGATACTTCCAGAGAAGACTGGCATATGAGTCAGTGAACCAAGGGGGGAAGATCCACTCTCAATGCAGGAGGGCACCATCCAACTGGCGGTGGGCCTGGATGGATTAAAAAGGCAGAGGAAAGGCTAATTCACACTGTCAAGCTGGGACAGCCAGCTTCTCTTGCTCTTGGATGTCAAAATTCCAGGTTCTCTGGCCTTGGGACTATGACTTGTACCACTGGCCCCCAGGTTCTTAGGCCTTTGTGCCTGGGTCATTGGCTTGCTGGTCCTGAGGCTTTCAGAGAGGGACTGACATTCCTTGTCCTCCAGCTTGCAGATGCCTTACCATGGGACTCCACAACAGCAGGGAGCATTCCCCCTATTAAGTTTCCTCCCTCCCATCCATCCTCCCATCCATCCATCTATTGGTTCTGTCTCTCTGAAGAACCCTAACACTCTGCCTGCTATTTCTGTGAGGAATTAAGTCCTTTGTCTCTGACCCAGGAGTTCTGTTTTCCTCCAGCATCTCAGGCTGTTGCAAGCTACTCTGTTAACCTCAAGTGGGAAAAAAATCTTGGACTTTTTATAGTTCCTGAAAAACTCTGAAAGTAATAATTAAGAGTCTCAGGAACGGAAAGCTATCCAGAACCCACTGCATAGACAGTCCTCATATACGACTTCAAGTGGCTGAAACTTCAGTAAATCTCTTTGCTATCTCTTGTATCTACTCTAGGCAGGAGAGGCACCAAAGTATTACAGACTCATGGAAGCAACCTGTACACCCAGCAGCCAGAGAGTGAGCAAGACATTTGACCTACATGTTCCCTATCCTCAAAGGAAGCTAGTATGTCATCATAATTCCTAATGATTTCATTCATTGTAATTGTGAAACTGGCCAAAGACACTTCTAAAAGGATCAGTGTATTCAACTATGAGTGGAGTAACATACTTCATGAACATCAAAACATGAACTAAAGTTAGTGTACTAATCAATTAAATTCACAACAAAATTAATCTGACATTTAATGTTATGGCTAAGTTATTACCTCACAATAATGAACAAGCACATAATATATAATGGGAGTTAATTAAAATAGTCCAGCCAAAGATGTCTGCTGTAAGCTGGCAGAAGGAAGAGGGGAAACAGATAAGTTAGCTGCTTGGAAGCCAATCTGAAGATCTCTGCATTTGCTGTAACCCAAGAAGACTGAGTTGACGGCTTACGGGCCTAGGTTATCCTGCACTACGGTTCTCATCACATCAGAAGGGCTAACACAGTTGCCTTAATAATTCATCTAGCTATACAGCAGCCCTTTGCCATAGAGACAAATCACCATTTGATCTTCCATTACTCCTCCTTAACAATTAGATTTCAAAATCACTGTATCATTACACAATTTATTCTTCATACCTGTCTGATGCCAAGCCAAAAGAAAATCAAATTTCAATGGCTTCTTTTCTTTCAAGGACCAAGATATTCTTTCATACTTCTTAGAATCCATGATAAAGGATAAATCCATCAAATCAATGGAAACAACTTTAAAAAATGGAAAAAGGAATGTATGTTTCATTCAAATATATACAGCTTGCACTGTGAAGAAAATGTTAGGTTAAAAAAGTCAGAATTTCTGGAAATTTTAATAGGAATTACTTTGTTCTTTTTGCTCTTTGTATGGTTTACCAAATCAAAAATATCCCTTCAGTGGGTATTTCTAGCATTAAAAACTATTTCTAGTACTAACAAATGTTTTAAATTCATATCTTTCCTAGGTCAAAGACCAAGGGCAATTTGGGTCTGGTGGCACACGCCTTTAACTCTAGCTACTGAGAAGCCGACACAGAAGGATCACAAGTTCAAGGCCAGCCGACAAAACTTAAAGACTGTTTTAAAATAAAAAATAAAAAGGGCTGGGGATGTAATTCAGTGGTAAAGCCCCTGGGTTTGATCTCCAGTACCATAGACAGATAAACAGACAGATAAATTTTTAAATTTTTTTTTTTTTTGGTACTGGGGATTGAACTCGGGACCTTGCGCTTGCGAGGCAGGCACTGGAACCACTGAGCTGAATCCCCAGGCCTATTTTTTAATTTTTTAAAAAGACCAAGGGCACAAGCCCTCAGGAGTTCTCCTCTAATCTACTCTGGGATGTGGAAGCCTAAACTATTGATGTCCACAGCAGATACAGCAGCCAGAACCACACTGTTTCGCTCATAAGCAAATTTCTACTGCTAATCATAAAGACTCAGGGAAATTAAAGGAAACTGTTTCTTAAAAACAAGTTGTAGACTGCTCCTTGGGATTCATTACTTGGAATTTTTTACCCCAAACATGTATCTAAGGGACTAATTCACTCATTTTTATATAATGCCACCTGGGGTAAAGAGAAAAAACAGAGTTAACAACATCATCTGATCCTTTCTGAAGCTCAACCAATAACTCTTTGAGTCAGAAGTACAAAAAAGACCCATATTTTTCTGAACAAAGAGATCAGAGGTAATTCAAACATTTAAATGTAATTGCTGCCAGGGGTGTAGCTCAGTGGCACCACACCTGCCTGGCAAGCACAAGGTCCTGAGTTTGATCCCTGGTACGAAAAAAAAAGAAATTAATTGCTAAACAAAGATTACTGGACTGAAGACTCTAATGGAGATACATGTTACTTACTAAATTTCATAATTTTCCTTCCAGAATACTGAGATGGACGACCTTGAAGTCCAGTTTCTTCATAAGTGTCTTTATCCAGTGATAAAATTAATTTCCCTACAATTAATCAAATAATTTCCATTTAATTTCCATTAAAGAGAAGCTAAAAACATGACTTATATTGTCTAAGAATGGAAGGCAACCAAAGAATTAAGACATTATTTGTAATAAACTGCATGAGGACCTTATTAATACATGCATATTATTTATACATATATACATACAAAGACAGTATAAATAGTGAAACTAAAAATAATCTAAATTCCTATGAAAGAAATAGTTATACAAATATGGTATATTTCAAGTATCTTTAGGACATTAACAATTGTAAGTTAGAAGTATTTGCACTGTATTATGGTTTAGATCGATGACCTCCAAAACTCTAATGTACTCAGCAGCAGGGCTTTTAGAAGGTGACTGTATCACAGGGGAGCTACAGCTGAATGTGATGTTAAGAGGTGGGGTCTGGTGGGAAGAGACAGGTCACTGGAGCTGTGACCAGGAAGGGTTTCCTCCCTCCCCAGCTCCTCTGCTTCCTGGTTGCCATGACTTCAGCAGTTTGCCTCCACCTGGCTCTTCCACCTTGGCTTGGAGCCAGCTAACCATGGACCGTAACTCTGAGCTAAAATACAGCTCTTTTCCTTTATTCTCTCTTTTTTTTTTTTTGGTACCAGGGATTGAACTCGGGACCTTGCACTTGTGAGGCAGGCGTTGGAACCACCGAGCTAAATCCTCGGCCTGCTTTTCCTTTAATTTGTGGGTGTTGGGTATTGTGCCTCAGTGACAAGAAACTGACTAAGATACACTGATAGAAAACATGTCTATGATATGTAGCCTGGGAAAAAAGGAAGTTAAGAAACTAGGTAAGATAAAATTTATGTTGTCTTACTTATAAAACGAGCATGTATTTATAAATTCAAAGGAAATATAAAGAATATACATCAGACCGTTAATAGTTCTTCCTAGAACACAACTGAGTTTGCAGGGATGAAGGACTTTTACTTAATATAGATCTATATGATGTGACTGTTTTTTATAGTATGCATTTCTTTTATATTTGAAAATTAAGAAAAAAATCAACATTACCATTTGGTAGCAGAGCAACAGTATTATCTTCATCAATATTTGTATTGTATGTCAGTGCATAGCATGAACCTATAAGAGACAGTTAAGAGGAGAAATTCAGACAAAGAAAAAAATTACACTTGCAATATGTTAGTGGATTATTTTCACATGACAACCAAACTTTCAAGCAGGTAAGTATCTACCAAGGCTCTAGCTCACTCAATAAACCTAACACATGCCATGGTTAAGCTGCAGCACATACAAGGCCGTGTAGTTCCCTCTTCTACTAAAGGTTTACTATCACCAGGCAGAAAATGGACTCAGGATGGAATGTCTACCTGTGGGGATGCTGGCAGAAAGGCACAAACTAGAATACTACGTAAGTGTATATACCTTATGCCAGAGGTGTAGGTTAATATTCACAAGTGACTCAACTAGGTTCATATTCAAGTTATTCAATTTTTCCTCATTTGTTAAATGGAGATCACAGGCCTGTTACACAGTTGTTGCAAGGGTTAAATCTGGTAAGCTATTTAAAAGTGCCTGCTACAAAATGTGTCTGTGCCATTGCCAAAAGAATATCAGACTTCAAATGATGACCAGAATGTTCATGAAAACAAAGGCGAGATGTTTAGTCTCATACGCAGCCCTAGGAGCCTCAGAATGAGAGGTGCAACAAGGAAGAATTCTCCCCAGGTCTACGGAGAGGACAAATGTGGGGCTACAACAAGGAAAGTCTGAGGCCACACACAGTGACTTATGTATGAGGTGAGGGTGGAAACCCTAAGGACACTTTGAAATGTAATTTCCAACAACAGCTCCTAGGAAACAACTGGAACAAACCAATCAATACAGCAGACACAGCTGGGAATGTGGCAAGCAGAGGAGGGCCAGCACCACAAACTCTAGGATGATGACACTAAACCAAAAGGAGTATCTGGCCCTGTGACCAGCAGCTGTGGCTGCATCAGGAAACCAAGCTTCCGACTGTGGGGAAGGCTGACAGCAGTGTCTGCAGCGACACCAATAGCAGTGTATCGGGACACAGACTGCAAGACTCTTCTCACTAGTGATCCTGCCTTAAGATGATGGATGCCCTTACGTTAGAATGTCCCCAGCCAGGACTTGGGGACCGCAGAATTCTCAGGGATGGGTGAGTGGTGCATGGATCTGCCCACAGAGACTATCCCCACTGGCCCTGTTTAAAACAAGAGAAATACCCTCGCATCATGCTGTGGTCTCCCTATACTTCCTCACCCTGCCTTATTCACAGGCACTGTGTGGTTTTTCTTACCTTTCTTCACAAAGGTGTTGATGAATTCGTGTGTAATTAATTCATAAAGAGGTAAGTTCTTCACAAAGTAATAGGGTCCTGTTTCCATGACCAGGTTTTTCAGTTCTTTCGATAGTATCCCACATTCAGGAATTAGGAAAGAAACCTATTGGGATGTTTAATGAAAACAGAGTCTTATTTTACCGGAGAGTAGCCCAGGTTTTTAGGAGTGAAGTATCATGAAAGTTGCTCACTACTGCATCACAGGATTCACTGGAACATGCAACACAGGCAACAAATCTCTTAAACTATCAATCTCCAGTGAAGAAAATTCACAATTCAAGTTTTCCATTTTTGCATTCAAACATATAGTATAGGGAAAAGACTGCACAGAAACGTTGAAACGGACTTGCTTGCATTTTATCTTTAACAAAGGGCAATATATTTTATGTCCTGTCCCTTTTACTACTTTAATTGCAAGAACGTCTCTGGGCGCATAAGGAATTTAGGGACATCCAATGACGGGGCTACTTGGAAGCAGAAGAGTTTCAAGTTTCCGTTTTCTAGACAGGAAATGTAGCAGGTCAGACCAGAGGAGTTAAGACATACAGCCCTAAATGCTGTGATAAGCTTTCCAACTAAAGCAGAGATGTTAAAATTCAACAGGATTCAAATGTTCTTCAGCGTCCCCGCACTGAAAATCCCTCTCCCAACACCGATCTTTCCGGGGAGTTCAGGTCCCCTCTTAAAAGTCTGAGAAGTCAATCAGACGATCAATTTAAAGTGAAAAATGCGTAGTCAAATCTGTATCGCCCTAAGGTTGGATTTATTTGGAGTTAAGTCAGATATAGAACCTGCTCCCATGAGCGGTTCAGGAAAGCACGCAGCCGGGTTGCACGCTGCTCTGGAAAGGGGCACAGGTATGCAGTGGGCGAGGGAGTCCGGCGGAGGGGGAGTCACGGGACCCGCCCCGATTTAGGGCGAAGGACAGCTGCACGAGGCAGTGGTCACTCCCGCCCCACGTTTCCTCACGCTTCCCCACGCTCCACAGACCTTCCCGCGTGGAGCCGGGAAGACCCGAGGTCAGCAGGCAGTCCTTCAACTCAGAACTGGGCTCCGCCCCGCGCCCGACGCACGCTGGGAGCTGTAGTCCTGTAGCCCTAAGAGCTACACGCGCAGAGCGGCGACGACACTACATTTCCCAGCATGCTCAGCGAGGGCTCGCCCCTCCGCGCGCCTGGAGGTCAGCCGCCAGAAGCCAAGACTGGCGCTGCTTCAAACCTCTCGCCCGGGGGGACCGAGTGCGGCCTGACTCACCTTGTAATTGTGATAGTGCGTCTCCACGAGATGCCGGTGGCGTGACTTGTCGTGGCCGAAGTTGGATTTCTCACAGACTAGTAAGTGCCGGGGCGTCTCTCGCAGACCACGCAGCGTGGCCATGCCTGCGGTGACTCCGGGTGTTCCGCCTCTCCCCTAGCTCGGCGCGCTCCGCCCCTTCTCGCCCCGCCCCTTCTATGCGCCCCCCCGCGGGCCCGCCCCTCTGCCCCGCCCCTCCTCCTGGGGCATGCGCAGGGCGGCTGCCCGCGCTCTACTTGGGGCGGGAGACTAGTCACGCTTGCTGGAATCTCACACCGAACCACCTAGTTGGATGGCGTTTGCCGTGCCTTCGCTGTTTGTAGTGTCAATGCTCGGCCCGGAAGACCTGGCACTGGACTTCGTCCCCTCCATCGCGGAGCTGCGTGCATCCCCACGCAGGACTCCTGGGACCTGGAGCTGAGCAACGGGTCCCCGGGCAGAACCTCCGGGACCGTCCCCTGCCGCTGTCCGAACGGAGAGGGCGCCGCGGTGGGGAGGCCCTGTGCGCCAGGCCGCGCTGCTTTTCTGATTCCCGGCACAGACTGGTTCCCAGGACCTTGGCATCCTACCGTGGACCTCTTGGCGGTGATCAGTATCAGCCCAAAGGAACTAAGGTTCTTGCTGGGCTTTCCCAAGAGGCTAAGGAAACGTGTGTACGAAGGAAATGGCCCATTTCTACGTTTCTGCTCTACAGTGGGGTTCTTTTGAAACCACTTTCAATGTTCCTTTAAAAAATATCCCTTTGGAACCACTTTTACTAATTGTTGCCTTTGAGGGTTACAGTGGTAAATCTCTTAAGTCATTTTTCACTTAGTTTTTCTGTTGAACTGCAAGTACTACATTGCTACATTCTTCTTAAACTGGAGAATTCGTAGCCCCGAATCTGTACGGGAGGGTTCAAAACACACCAGAATCCTAGTGGTACATCTCATTGTGGAGCACCAGTTTTACTATAGGATTTGGGAGAAAAAGTTAAGTAATTTACAAGGTAATAATTAAAAATTTAAAGCTAAGACGGGGCTGGAAGGTATCTGCATTAGTAACTGTTAAGGAGACCCTATTTCAAATTATTTTAAACAGTAAAATACATGGTATACCAAGTGAACGGAAAAACTACTAGTTTCCAAAGTCACAATATGGCACCTAGGTGTAAGGTGCAGATACGTTAGGGTGGAAAATGCTTAAACCCTGCTTCTTGGTCGCCTCACATTTAATGTGCTGGCTGCCTGACTGCACCTTCCTAACAGCCAGTTTCAGCCACCTTCCCCTCTTTCTGGTCTGCTGTCAAAAACAGTATCCCAGCCTTCCTGGTTTCCTCCGTGCCCCCCACTGGAGAGAGGTGCCCTCCCTTTCTCTGCTTAGCATCCAGACTGACTCATGAACACGTGAAGCACATGTAGAATGCTCCCTGCTCCCATGTAAACCCCGCCACTGGCTTCTCATTACAATAGAATAAAACCTTCAACAACTGACCCCCACCTGCCTCTTCAGCTGATAGGTATAAAATTTTCTATCAAAACCTGAAAGCAATATGAATTGACAGATATTAGATAATAGAATCTAGCACATAGGGCATGGAAGGAAAAAACTGGAAAAAAAAGATGGGCGATTTTAAAAAAGTAGGATAGAGGTTGGGTGGGGATAGAGACAGGGTGGGTCCTGGGTACCAAAATACAGCGGAAGGAGGGGAAGTAGTTCTGATGCTCTATAGCACAGTAAGGCACCTATGGTCTATAACAATTCTACATTTAAAAATAACTATGGAGGAGAAGATTTGAAAGGTTCCTGCTATGGCTTGTATCTAGATATCCCCCCAAAGCCTCGTGCATCCATAGGTAGGGAGTTTTGAACACAGCTGGATTAGGGTGTGTGAATGTTGATTAACTGAATGTGTGATACTGAGATTAAGGGGTAAATAATGGAAGCCCCACTCTGGGTATGAATGGCACCAATCAGTAGGCTTACACCCTGGATGAAATATAAAGGGAGAGAGGGAAGGCAGGCTTGCTCCTGCTGCTGCTGCTGCTGTTGCTTGCTGCTTTCTGCCTGCCACACCATGAAATGTTTCTCCTCTTTGATTCCCTTCTGCCATGCCACCCTGCCTTGGAGCCAGGTGACTATGGCCCAAAACCCCTGCCAACTGTCATCTAAAATAAATCTTTCCTCCTTTAACTTTGGGTGTCAGATATTTTGGCTCAGCAACAAGAAACATAACTAAGACACTAACTCATAGAAATGATAATAGATATTTAAGGAGATGAAAGTGCCAATTTCTGATTTGGTCATTTCATGTTATATACATGTACAGAATTATAATACTGTATGCCGTGAGTACAAATATTGTATATCAATTGAAAATAAAATTTTTAAAAGCACACAAAGCAATGAAAACATAATTGGCCTGTGTGGATATGTCCAAAAGGAGGTAGTAACAAAGTGAAGTTTTTGAAAAACTAAGGTAACAGACTTGCAAAAAGATAGAAATACCTTTAATCATATCCTGAAAACAAAAAATTTGTACTTAGTAAACGTAAAGGGGTAAAAATTTCATATATCACATTTCTGGGCCATAATGCAACAAAATCAGAAACAGAATTTAAAAATAGTTATCTTGAGTTTGGCCTTGCAGTCAGATGCGGGTGGCTGTGCCCTGCTCCGTCCGACTTGCTCCACCCACTTGACCAGACCACCATACTTGGTAAGTTGGAGGGATCATCACCTCCCATTTGAACCTGGACTGTTTTTCAGGGGAAAGACAGCTAGAAGCTGTAGGAGAACCTTGCGGAGTTCAACCCTGCAGGAGAACAGGGAGCTCAATTTGGGACTTGCAGCCAGAAGTCTGTCTGAATCTCACGGGTCTGTGACTGGCTTGGTGAGACTCATTGACTTATAACTGACAGTACCAAAAACAAAAATGAGAAGACATTTAAGCAAGTCACAAACTCAGATTTCCACCCCACAAAAGACAATTTCTGGGGAAAACGAGGTGGAAAAGTCTGATAACCACCTGGACACCCTGAACTGATAGCACAGGAAGTAACAAAACAGATGAATGAGGCTCTAGAAAAATTGAAAGCA